CCAAACCGTTTGGCGACTTATAAGTCGCCCAACCGTTGGGCGACTTACCCCCGACCATGGTTAACCCAGCAGTATTTTGGTAAATACTTTTAACCCAACCCTATTTTCGTAATTAATTAATTAATTAACATTAATACGGAAAAAAACTCGTATTATACGAAGTACGTAGACACGTAGTATAAATTTTGCTTATTAATCTTCCATCTCTAATCCAATAATGTATTAAACTCCCTTGTAATTATGAACATTATTAATCATGACACATACAATTGAATTCCTTTTTTAAATCACAAAAATAATCTAAAGAATTTGAGCCCGTTTGGTAGCACCAAAATCGGCTGTTTTGGCTGATTCTGCTGAAATTTATGATATTCTGGCTGGAGTGGCTGTTTTGGCTGATTCTGCTGATTTAAGAAAAAAATATTTTAAAAATATATTTTATTAATAAATTAAAGAAAAAGTTATATGTAAAAATAGCTAAAATGGTCCTCTACAGTAACTTCAGCCAATACAGCCAGAAAAGTAACTCCAACCTTACTTTTTCGGCTTATTACACAATTCAGTGCGCGAAAGTAAAAGTTACGTGTTTGGTAAAAAAGCTGGCTGATAAGCCTGATAAGCCGAAAACAGAGTTCTCCAAACGGGCTCTTTGTATTCCGTTTGTGATAACGATATTTGGTTCATCATGCCAATATTATTTTCCAAAAAAGTTCTGTAAAACAGAAAAAGAAAAAGAAATTACTTCCGTACGGTTTCCCTAAAAGTTACAAGCGGTCGTGGAACCTGCATGTAGAACCGTAGAAACCTATCTTCCCGTAAATTGTGGCTTGACTCGTCAATCATTAACTTACCACTCCTCCTTTACGACGACAAAATCATAGTGCGCATCCGATCTACTTTTAAATTTTTAATTGATTATTGCTATGATTAAGGGTTTTGCAACTAACTTCTACTTTTAAAAAAGCGTTTTTTAATGAAATGGAGAGAAGTGATTAAATAAAAGTTGATAGTGTTTGAGAAAAAAGTGATTTTGAAAAGTAAAAAGTGGGTAGTTTTTGGTAAAATAAGTGTTTTTTTGTGTAATAGAAAAAATAAAAGCACTTTTAACGCGGAAGTCGAGAAAAATAAAAGTTGTAGTTTTTAGGAAAATAAGTGTTTTCTTAAAGCCAAAAGGTGAGAAGTGCTTTTTTAAAAGGAGTTACAAACCAACCCTAATTGATCCAATTTATCTGTCTTCTGCTAAAAAAATATATTTAAATAAAAGAAAAGCTTTTGTTACTTTTAAAAATGTTACTTTTAAAAGCTATTCGAACGACACTTTTGATATCCGGCTTTAAAATTTTCAACACTTAATCTTTCAACTTTCATAAAATTAACACTTTTGATTCTTCAACTATTATTACAATGACATTTTTAATTTCCACTTATAATGTCAAAGTTATAGTGTAAGGATTAAAAGTGTCACAGAATTTAATGTGGTGAAGTAGGAGATTAAGAACGTGTTTGGCATTCAGCGGTTAGCGGATTATGTTAACGAGTTGTCGATAGCGGATTCGGTCAATAGATTTGACTAGTGAAATAAATTGGCGGATTGTCAAAAGATGTTTGATAATTTAGTTGTTTGACCATAAAATTAGTAGAAAATGCCATTTTTTAAAACGCTCACCCAAAACTCGTTAAAACGCTCACCCATAAAATTTAGCTGGTTGCCATTTTTTAAAACGCTCACCCAGAAAATGGTTAAATCGTCATTTTTTGGCTGAAACATCATTTACCAAACACCCCCTAAAAGTGTCTTTCGTACAATAATACTCCCTCCGTTCCGGAAACAAATTCCCACTTTCCTTATTTGGATGTCCCAAAATAAACTTCTCACTTCCTTATTTGACAAATTAATTTACATCAAAACAGTGCAAAACAATGTCAAACAGTATCAAACATTGCAAAACATTGCCCAACAATATATAAAAAGTGTCAACACAATGTCAAAACAGTAAAATTTATCTTACAGTAATTTTATTTTCTTAAAATGTGTGAACGAGGGAATGTAAAAGTTACAAGTTGAAACTCGAAAAAACAATAATTCCCCTCCTATAACAATGCTCCTTTGTCGGTAATGTTCCACTCATTTTTATTTCACTCATTCCTCCCACTCCATGGCTACACTATCTGGTACCAGTTTCCTCATTTTCTTCTCTTTAGTCTTTTTCGTTCTAACAATTCCGGCCAATTTCTGCACTGCTTTGGCTGATCGGCAGTCTAAAACATATATAATCAGAGTCGACAGCCATACAAAGCCGGCGATTTTCCCTACCCATTACCACTGGTACACCACGGAGTTTGCTGATCCAGCTAACATCCTTCACGTTTACGACACCGTTTTCCATGGATTCTCAGCTTCACTCAGTCCATCTCAGGCCGCTTCTGTCCTCCAGCACCCCTCCGTCCTCACGTCTTTCGAGGATCGCCGGAGGCAGCTTCACACAACTAGGTCGCCTCAATTTCTCGGGCTCAGGAACCAGCGCGGTCTCTGGTCCGAATCCGACTATGGCTCCGATGTTATAATTGGGGTTTTTGACACCGGAGTTTGGCCGGAGAGAAGGAGCTTCTCTGATCTGAATCTCGGGCCCGTTCCGGCCCGTTGGAAGGGGGTTTGCGAAGTCGGTGTGAAGTTCACTGCTCGTAACTGCAATAAGAAAATCGTCGGCGCTCGGTTTTTCTCGAAGGGGCATGACGCCGCCGCAGGATTCGGCGGGATCGGGACTGGTATCAACGACACAGTTGAGTTCCGGTCCCCACGAGACGCAGACGGTCACGGGACTCACACGGCGTCGACGGCTGCAGGGAGGCATGCTTTCCGTGCAAGTATGTCAGGTTACGCGTCTGGAATCGCCAAAGGCGTTGCCCCAAAAGCTCGACTGGCTATCTACAAAGTCTGCTGGAAGGGTGGCGGTTGTATGGACTCCGACATCCTCGCCGCATTTAACGCGGCAGTTGCCGACGGGGTGGATGTTATTTCGATTTCAATTGGAGGAGGCGACGGGATCGCTTCGCCGTTCTACCTAGATCCGATCGCCATAGGAGCATACGGCGCCGTTTCAAAAGGCGTGTTTGTGTCCGCATCAGCCGGGAACGACGGACCTAACCTAATGTCCGTCACAAACCTTGCTCCGTGGCTGATGACAGTCGGAGCCGGCACAATCGACCGGAAATTCCCAGCGGAAGTGACCCTGAGCAACGGAAAAAAGTTCTCAGGAGTCTCACTGTACGCAGGACTGCCATTGAAGGGGAAAATGTATCCCTTGATCTTCCCTGGTAAATCTGGTGTCCTCTCTGCTTCACTGTGTATGGAAAATTCGCTTGACCCTAAAGAAGTAAGTGGCAAAATCGTAATATGTGATCGGGGGAGCAACCCACGTGTAGCAAAGGGGATGGTGGTGAAGAAAGCTGGAGGAATTGGTATGATACTCGCCAATGGTGCCTCCAATGGCGAGGGCCTTGTAGGGGACCCTCACCTCTTACCAGCTTGCTCGGTTGGATCACATGAAGGTGATGCTATCAAATCCTTCTTAGCTTCTAATCCAAACGCAACCGCAACTATTAACTTCTATGGGACTGTACTTGGAGTAAGACCGGCACCAATCGTGGCTTCATTCTCAGCCCGAGGCCCTAATGGACTCAACCCGGAGATATTGAAGCCAGACTTGATCGCCCCGGGAGTGAACATCTTGGCTGCCTGGACGGATGCGGTTGGTCCAACCGGATTAGATCTTGACACCCGAAAAACTGAATTTAACATCTTGTCCGGTACTTCGATGGCTTGCCCTCATGTAAGCGGTGCAGCCGCCTTGCTTAAATCTGCCCATCCAGATTGGTCCCCCGCAGCCATTAGATCTGCCATGATGACCACCGCTAGCACCATTAATAACAACAAACTGCAAGCAATGACGGAGGAGTCCACCGGGAAACAGGCCACTCCATACGATTTCGGTTCAGGGAATCTGAATCTGAATCTTGCAATGGACCCCGGACTAGTGTATGACCTCACCAGTGAAGACTATGTTTCTTTCCTGTGTGCGATTGAGTATTCTCCGAAGACCATACAGGTGATCACAAGATTGCCAGCTAGGTGCCCACTTAGGAAGTCGTTGCCAGAGAATCTGAACTATCCGTCCATTTCTGCACTTTTTTCAACCTCAGCTGGGAGCCAGACGAGCAAGACATTTTCCAGGACAGTCACAAACGTTGGGCAGACTAACACAGTGTATACTTCGAAGGTTGTAGTGCCAAAGGGAGTGTACGTGACAGTGAAGCCTGAGAAGCTGGTGTTTTCGGAGAAGGTGAGGAAATTGAGGTATTATGTGACGATCTCACTGGACAAGAAAGTTGCCTTTGATGATGACTCGGGTGCTCTGTTTGGATCGCTCTCTTGGATGGATGGGAAGCATGTGGTTCGAAGCCCGATAACTGTGACCCGTCTAGCACCATTGTAGAGTATTACTGAAGGACCACTGAACAACTTATTAGAAGGAAGCAAAGTTTGCAGCAGTCTCAAATAGCTTTATGTTTGTTACACCTGGAGAATGAGTGAAATGGGAACTAAAACTCCTTACCACGGAAGGGAGCAGCCATTTCCTAATGGTCCTGGATTTGGAACTTTACCTGTTTTTCGCCTCCCTTTTCAAGACTACTTGAAATTTTATTTCTTGTTTTATTTAAGTTTGGCTTTTTTCATAGTGTGTTGTCTTCTTTTAGAAAGTTGCTTATGTACACGTTGGCTGTTGGGTGAATGAATGACTGAAATTACTATTCATTCCTAGACATTACCAAAAGAGATCTTTTCAAAGCTACACTCCACCTTTTTATCACTTATTGGATTGTCGTTATTGAAACAACCGAGCGATAAAATAGCGGCTATGTATCTGCTGAAATATAAATACAGAATAGAAGGAAGGTCTCCAGAGTCCGGATGCCCTTCAGCTTTGCATTTGCATAAGAGTTAAAGCCAAAAAAGACAACTACTCAATACTCATAACATGTACGAAGTATGTGTCATGCATTATATAATGGTCTTACAATACAGACAAATTATTATGATCTATTAGGCAAAAAGTGGACATTTCCAACTGCAAGGTGTTATTTAACTTTTAAGATGCGAATCTCACTCCTAAAACTTTGATAGATGCAAGCAGAACCCAAGAGTTCTCTCTTCTGATTGTGACTTAGAACATGAGATCATCTACTTTACTCTCCTTCGAACTTCATACAAATAACTCAATGCCACAACAGTAGCAGCCACAGCAACACCGATAGCGCCTTGCACCAATATGGGACCATCCCTCACGGTCTTCGGACCGGGTGGAGTAAATCCAAGCTCAGACAATTTCTTGTGGGATGCGGCATAATCCTTGAAGAAAGCTTCTTCATCCTGCAAAAATGTTTCATAGTGGTTCCATCTCATGCAGGCAACTGTTGAACACGGAATCAATGTTTTTTAACTGGAAGCTGAATCGACCAGTCTGGTTCCTCCAAAATAGGACCGAATCGGGTAAAACCCAGCCTGGAACCTGAACCGTCAGTTCAACACAACCCAGAACCAGACCTTTATTACATGCTCTGGTTACATTTTTTTTACATGCTCTGGTTACATTTCCTACAATAGAAGGGACTGGTGCTGGCCGGTGTCCTCTAGTGGTCTAGTGTAGGCACATCACATTCATGCTCTATGCTTCTTATAAGAAGCAGAGATGAGCAATTTCAAGAATTTTAACCATTCAAAAAATTTCATGATTTTTAATATTCTTTGCATCACAAGAAGCACATTAAGAACAGTTTCATGATTTTAGTGCGCCCAAAAGAAAACAGATAATTCCAGTTTTTGAAGTTAAAGGTGACATGTGCAAAGACCAGAGAAAAGGTTGTTTTCCTTGAGGAAAAATCGTTACCTTAGCATACAGCTCAACATAACGCCGAAACTCAGGATCATCAACCAAAGCTTTATCAGTTGGAAGTTTTAAGAGGCCTTCAGTGTCATCTTTGAGCAGCTCCCTGAAATCAAAACAGAAGAAACAATAATAGTTAATTCATTTTACACAATAATCCATATTGTATGCATGATCTAATTTCCCTAGAGTCTTACACAAAGTAAGAATTGTCAAATTTCAATGGCTCCTTTGTCCATGCACCATCAAACCCTGATCTCTCTGGGTGAGCCTTTCCCTGCAATTAAACATTTATTTATACCTAATGAAAAACTATTTGGAAAATTAAAGAGGAAGGCCTTGAATGATGTGCTGTTGGTGAAAGCCTACCAGAGTGTGACCTCCTGATAGAGCTACAATATCTCTATCAGACAAACCCATCCTGTAAAAGACATCCCTCAGATGGGGTGCACCTAAAAGCACAGGAAGAATAGGAAATGATTAAAGCTGAAATTTGATGCTTCATAATCCTTACGAACAACAATAAAACATACAAATATCTTTGCAGATTCCATTTTCACTTCTATACTTGCAAATATTTTCACTTCTCCATTTGTCAACTACTTCTCATATTCACTTTCCAATTCAATAAATAGAAATATGAACAATAACACAATATTGCAACTTCATCACTGTCGGCCACCAAAATTGGCCTGTATTAGCTGGCAGTGTCCATGGTTGGCCATTTTAATCACAATTTCACAAGGGGTTGTGAATGAATCAAATCATTATCGATTAGTTTAAAATAAGATTTCATATATGAGGCTCAATTTTCAATATTGCCGACTCCCAATCTGACTCCCATATTCAGTTTCAGTATTTGGTAAAATATTTAAAAATCATTATGTGGTTTGTGTGTGAATGAGGGTGTGAGTGTGTATGTATGTGTGTGTGTGTGTGTGTGTGTGAATGAGGGTGTGAGGATGTATGTTTATGCGATTATGTGTGTGTGTACATATCTTTAACTAATGAATCAATAATGAATTACGTAGTATTTCTTAAATTTCTAAACAATGTTTGAATCGAAATCAAATAGCATCGATTATTTTTTGGCTTGAGAATATGATGGAATAAAGCAAAATGGCTTACTAAACTGTCTGCACTTCTTTGTTATGAAGCAGCAGTCAGTCCATGCAATTTTCGGCGCGGGGTAAGACTGTGTACATCCGACCCCCCCCCCCTTACCCCACCGAAGGTGTGGGAGCCTTTGCGGCAGTGGGGTAATGATGATGACGACTAAGGCTTGAATGTTGTTGTTTGGCACAAGATAATTTATTTTCCATCAATCTTTTCATTTTATTATTTGCTACCATTTTTGCTTTCAACCGAGAAAGTGGGTGGTTAGTGATTACATATTAAATATGTTCAGTTGATCTATCAAAAGGCAATATTTGTAAGAGAAACTTTGATAGGACCATCTTTATCCATAGTGTTACATCTTGGAAGAGAAAAACTACAACTCTTTTGAAGAAACCTTGGAGATAAGTAAGTATTGGCATTTGGCAATACCTTTCTTAGCATCTGGAAGCCTTCCTTCCTTTGGAGAAACCTTGGAGTCCTATGAAAAATGGGCATAAGCAGTTTAGATTTAAGATATCAAACGACAATGTAAAAGTATTACTTAAATTTATGTCTGGGTTACTGGTTAAACAAACTGACATACCTTCCTACCAGGAACAAAGTCTATGGTGGGGCCACCAGTGATCTCAACAGCAACATAACCAGCAAGCTAAGGGCCGCAATGCGTTTTGCAGATGAGTTAGTTCAATCTTAAACAAATATATGGAGCTTGAAAAAGATGCAGACCAGAAAATTTTAAAGATGATAGCATGTGAATGCACTATAAATCAACTTCTAGCATCACCGAACATCAATGAAGAGGCAATACAATCAACTATTACAAAAGTAGGAACAGTATAGAAACATATGAAAACTAGCAATAAGGCACCAAATAAAATGTTTGAAATAAAACACTCAATTTTCAAAGAGATTATGTAGGCATTTACAAACAATCACCTGGTACAAATCTGCATATGATATCTTTGGATGTTTAGACTTCACAGTCTCTGTTATCAGAAACACAACCAATCAAATGCTGATAAATAATTGAAATACTAAAATAGTTCGTCATAACTCATGATTCAACATTCAAGATTAGGAACTAGCTAAATTAAGGCTCGCTTGATCAATATCATGATCGGTATTTATTTCAATAGAAATGAATGCCATTTCAATAATTCAGAAGCAATGAAATGTACTAAAATACTAAAATACTGTAACAATAAATACACCGTACTAATAGTTTCCTATAGATCCTCCACTGAGCATTTGCTGTTATGAAATTGACTAAACACTAGTAGCATTTGCTTACTCCAGCATCAAGGAATGCCTTGCTTGGTGATTTTCCTATGTATGAATTTATCTCACATGCAATTTTCCATGCGATTTTCACATGGGTCTCCAAAAACAGTCTCTATGTGCTTTAGTAGAGGGGTAAGGCTGTGTACATCCGACCCCCTTACCCCATCGTAGGTGGAAGCCTTTGTGGCACTAAGGTAATGCTGATGTTGATGTTACGTATGACGGTATGGATTGAGGTGAAACTAGGGGAATTGAGGTGAACATTTGATTCACCCCATTTATAGCTAGTTTAGTAAGATTGAGCCAAAAAGGTCGTGGAAGACGAATAAAAACGAACTTTTTAATTACTCTGTATAACAAATAAGCAAAATATAAATTTGAAACGTAAAGCAGCTAATGCAATACGTACTTTGTAGATTATACATTTATACCTAAAGCTTGTTACGGTACTAGTGAAATGTTAAAGAAATGATGGATTATCAGTGAACTAGTTTTTCTTATTCTTCTTCCTATCATAGTGATGTAAACTCCCACTAAGGCCAGCCCAACTGCAGTCATCACAGAGGTACTAGAATGAAGTATGCACTGAACAAGATATCACTACATCAGTCATAGATATGCAGAGGTTTAGACCCAAAAATATTACCGCAAAGATCTATAGCAATTTTCAAGCCATTGTTGGCGGCGTGGCTATACTCCTCCTCATTTCTGATCGAACCGTTTGGTCCTCCAGCCTTTATCTTAGCATCGTAAGTTCCGGCATCGTGCCATCTACAATGAAATCGCAAAAATGTCTAAATACACTAGCCATTAATTTGCAGTTACTGTTGTATGTTATATTCAGTTTCACATCAAAAAGGGGAACACGGGCCAGAGAAAGAGCGTACGCCAAGCGAAGCATAATTGGAGCGCAGCTCTTGCTGGAGATCAGAGCGCGGAGGTCCCGACGAGCTTTCTCGATCTCCTTGAGGTACTCATCGTCGACGATTGTCTTTGCCATTGGATGGAAAAACTCGGATTATCTTACCCGGGTGACTGGCGACTTGTTGAGCTTCTCGACTAAATCGATGGTCCAAATGCTTCGTTTTCCAGCTTTTATGTATGAATTTTCTTTTCCTTTTCCATTGGAAAGAGTACAGCGTGGGTCCATTGAGGGCCCACCGAGATAACGTACAGCCTCCGCTCTATTCTACTCCCTCCGTAATATTTATCTTCCCACTTTCCTTTTTTGGACGTAACATTTATATCTTCCCATTTCTAAATCTTCCAATCGTACCCTCAATAATTTAAAAAATAATACACTACTACACCTAATTTTTTTTGGATTTATCCTTCATTCCATCACATTATTTCACCATCTTCTCATCATACCCTCAATAATTCATACCACATTTCACTATTCTTAATCTCACCCACTTTGGAAGTGGGAAGATATATGTGATACGGAGGGAGTATTCTTTTTTGGTATGGACAAAATTTGTACATAATACACACACATTTATAAGTAATTATGTGTATATATACATAGATACAAGCTGATTGGTCTGATTGTGTACGTTTATGTGCACAGACAATTATGTACAATATGTTAATTGTGTATAAATAGAGTTTTTCTTCATTTTTATAATAAGTTGTGGTTTTTTGCACTCTCAAAATCTTGAAGTTAAATTAAATAACCCTTTGAAGTAAATAGATAGTGGAATACTAATTTAATCACAATCAGCATTCCATCCACCGCCTTAATTACTGATTTTCTAGTGTTGAAACTTGAAAGAATATCATAAGTTTTTGGAGGGAAAAAAACATAAAAACGGTTCATACACTAATACACCACAAGTTATAAGACACACCCGGGTGTACAGCTACACATTTGAGGTTTCTTCTCATATTCCATATCTATTGCACGTCGATCCTTTCGTCATTGACATTGCTGCTCGACCTTCACCATGTGTCATCGATTCGAGCTTCATTGTCACCATCGTCGCGACGCGAGGAGTTCTTCCATTGATGCAGTCTGACCAGGAGCAGATTACATCTTGCTGCAACCAGATTTGTTCGAGTCTCACCTGGGTTGCTCAATAGCCGGCACTCCGGTCTGTCAAAGTTTAGGCGTCTTCGGTCCGTTTCTGTTCGTTTCTCCAAAGATGGAGTTGCTGTCAAAGAACCATGATAGTAAGCTTGACCGTTGCTTTTCAAGTCTTAGACGCTGAGAGTCGGCTCCTAAACCCTGGGCATATTACCTAACACTTCTGACGCTGAAGAAAAGTTAAACACATAAGAGATTAAGAATTATACAACAAAATTCCCTAGAACATAATTTAACAAACATACACGATTTCCAAAAAAATACAGGGTTTTAGGTAACTTAGTTTCAGTAGTTTTGGAAGGAGTACTATGAAAATTTTAATTCATGTAAGTAAAATTAAAATAGTGGACGTTGGTGAAGATCGACGATTGGAGTACACATTATGTACTACAGAACAAAAAGAAATTAAATTGACATACAAAAAAAAACAATTGAAATGGGCGTAAAAAACAATTCTATACAATTCTATACAATTTTATCGATTTTCCCGAAAAGAGTTCAAAACTAAAATTAAACTAAAAAATTCTGTTTTTCGTTCTCTAATTTTCTGTTTTTATTTTTCAGATTTTCTATCTCCAATTTTCTGTTTCTATTTTTTAGTTTTCCATTTTAAAATCTGAAAACACGTTCATCAATTTTTTCACACAGTTCTCCAATTCTACACCCTTGACCCCTACCTCTACCCTTACCACGATCTTACACTCTACCCATACTCCACCACAACCCTTCATACCCACCCATACCTACTCGTAGGGGTCGGGGTAGGGAAGTTATGGGTGGGGTGGGGTAAGGGGTATGGTCAGGGTGGGGTGGTAAGGTCTAGGGGTAGGGGGTTGGGTGGGGGTAGTGGGTGGGTTAGGGTCGTGGTTAGGGTTAAGGGTGGGGTAGTGGGTAGGGTTGGGGGGTAAGGTAAGGGTAGGGAGTTGGGATAGGATGGCGGTAGGGTGGGGTCAGGACCAGAGTGGGGCCGGGGTAGGGTGGGGGGGTAGGATGGCGGTAAGGGTGGGGGTAGTGGGAAGGGTTTGGGGTTGGGGTAAGGTAGGGGTAGGGAGTTGAGATAGGATGGCGGTAGGGTGGGGTCGGGACCAGGATGGGGCCGGGGTAGGGAAGGGGTAGGATGGCAGTAGGGGTAGGATGGCGGTAAGGGTGGGGGTAGTGGGTAGGGTTTGGGGTTGGGGTAAGGTAGGGGTAGGGTAGGGAGTTGAGATAAGATGGCGGTAGGGTGGGCCTGGGATCCGGGTGGGGCCGAGGTAGGGTAGGGTGGGGGTGGGGGTAGGATGGCGGTACGAGGGTGGGGGTAGGATGGCGATGGGGTGGGGCCGAGGTAGGAGGCATGTGGTAAGGGGTAAGGTAGGGGTAAGTGGTAATATACGAGGGGTGGGGGTAGGGTGGGTCGGGGTGGGTTGAGGTGGTAGGGGTGGCGGTAGAGTAGGGTGGATCGAGGTGGGGTCGAGGTGGTAGGGGGGTGGCAGTAGGGTAGGGTGGATCAGGGTGGGGCCGAGGTCGGGGCATGTGGTGGGGGGTGGGGTAAGGTCATTATAGGGAAAAATGGGTACGCGAGATGAGGGTTGGGTGGGTAGGGTAGGGGTAAGGTACGAGGATGGAGGTACCGGAATAAAATCGACATCAGAGCGGGACCGGACCCACCACTAGGTGTAAGTATGCACATTCATTGCAAAGGCACTGTAGTATCTGCGTTTTCCAAATTTGGAAAACTAGTAAAAGTCACTTCTCCAAATCATTAAGAAAAAGAGAGACATGTTTCATTTTTTCCGTTTTGGAAAACGATTTGGTAAACACGTTTTTCTTTTTTTCTTTCTCCAGTTTTCCAGGAATTTCTTTGGTAAACACGTTTCCTGTTTTCTGTTTTCCAGTTTTCCAGTTTTCTGGAAAACTGGAAAATATTTTTGTTAGTAAGCAGGCCCTTAGTATCTCAATTTTTAAGAATCACTACATCCCAAATTTTACTAGATTAAATTCTACTTATAAGAACTTAATGTGCATTATCTTACCATTCATTTTAAAAATATTTTCATATTTGCACATAGGTTCTTAAAGGTTATCCAAACTTTACTAAACCTATAGTCACATAAGTTTATCTAATTTGTTGAAATTAAGAGTTTTTTTATATTTATTACTGAAATAAAACTTAAATTTGATACTAACTTAGCCAGAAATGGGTCCCTCCCTTCCCTGTCCAGCCGCCGTCCGAACTCCGTAAGATACAAATTGCCCGTTTGGAGGAGCAAAATGGGCTGAAAAGCCTGAATGTACACCAAAAAACGCCAAACACTCCTTCAAGGGGCTTATATTGCTGATTTTTATTATCAGCTCAAAAAGTAGCCCCCAATGCTTACTTTTTGATGAAAATTTTTGAGCATGTTCCTCATCAAGTCTAGTTTGGTCATACCAAATTTCAGCTCAAAATTCGACCGGGAAGGCATTCAAATCATTTTTTGAAGTTGACTGCATTTGTATATGTATATTTTGGCGCAATCAACTTCAAAAAATAATTTGAATGCCTTCCCGGTCGAATTTTGAGTTGAAATTTGGTATGGACAAACTAGACTTGATGATGAACATGCTCAAAAAAGTTCATCAAAAAATTCCACCAGGAACCGCCTTAAACGGTGGAGTTCAGACAGTGGCTTCCATCCCTCCGACTGGACCTGAGCAGTCCTCCTAACTTAGCTACTTGGACTTGCATGTTTGAGAATGACTTGTCTAGTTGTCTTGAGTAATGTCAAACTTAAGATACCAACTTAGCTACATGGACTTGTCTTGAGCAATGTCAAACACTCAAACATACTAACTTATACGGATGTTTTTACTGAAGTTTGGATAAACTTATCTTAATTCTAAAATAAATAAAATTATTTTAAATGGTCTAATTTACCCTTGTAACAATACGAATGTTTTACTTGACCTCTAATCTGTCCCAGACTAGACCAGATCAGACTAGTCATGGACCCGGGCCGGGCCGGTTCCGGTTCCGGGCCGGGCCCGGCCGGGCTTTTTTTTTGGGAAGGAAGGCCCGGGACCGGCCCGGGTAGCCACCGGGTCCGGGCCGGGCCGGGCCTCCGGTTCGGTCATAATTTTTTTTTTTTTTTTTTTTTTTTTGCATTCCTAACCCCCCCCCCCCCCACTCACCCCTCCACCCCCCCAAACCCCTCCTAACCATCAAGCCCAACCCGGCTAACCCCAAAAAATGAAAAAAAAAAAATAATAAAAAAAATCAATTCGGCCCGGGCCCGACCCGGCCGGGCCGGTTCGCCAAATACAAGGCCCGGACCCGGACCCCCCACCGGGCCTAGGCCCGACCCGGACCCGGACCCGAGAACCGGGCCGGTTCCGGGCCCGCACGGTGGCGGGCCGGGCGGGCCGAACCGGGTCCATGCCTAGATCAGACTAGACCAAACTTCGGAAAAATAAACTTGTCTATTTATTTTAGACAAGTTTATCCAAACTTCAGTAAAAACATCCGTATTTACCAATCAAATGTGATCCCTTCACCTCGTAGTCTTGTATCGGTTTCAGTCTGGAACTTTAATTTTTACTCTCTATTTCGAATCAAGAACCGATCAGTCCCATTCCGATCAGGGGACCTTATCCAATATCCACCCTTGATGATGATGATAACAAAACACTAACGACAACAATGATATCAACAAAATAACAACAATAGAACAATGATATAATATATAATAATAATGATGATGATAATATACAGACATGTTACAGGACTGCTATCAAACCCGAAATAGAAAAGGGGACATTGTTCAGCTACAAATTTCAAGAGTATCTATATAGGACAGGTGCAAAGGACTAGGAAGCAGAATTCCATGTCAGCTCAATTTGAATCTTCCCATTCCTTGAATCAATGAGATGGTACTTCTCGTTGATCCTCCTGTTGCTAACCACATCGGAAAGGTTGATATCAACATAACCCAACATTTCCTGAATAACAAAACCAAAAATTTGTCATTCCCTTTGTGCAGAGAGGGAAAAAAATACATAAGGAAGATCATCTTTACTAG